TGCTGGGGAATCCACGTGGGATATCCGAGGGTGGAGGCCCGGGAGGAGAGGCCGCCAGAGAGCGGATGGGCAAGCGTGGGAGCGCGGGGCGCTGCCCTTTCTTCCCACTAGTGTCTCGCTCCCGGCCCTGCGTGCTTGCCCGGCAGCCATGCCACAGGTGGCAGCTGTGTTCGCTGGTCCTTTCTGGAAACCCGTTAGGGGTTCCCTTCCCGGGCGGTCAGCGAGGCCCAGGCAGCAGATGCATGGTTTGCCAAGGTGAAGCCGCAGGTCCTGGAATGGCGCCCTAGGAGGCCGTGCGCTCTTGTCTGGGGATGCGGAGCGTTTACCTGCCGCAGTGCCTTGTTCCAGGAGCTCTGAGCGGTTCTAAGGGTAATCTTGCTTTACCCAAGTTGGAGGCGTAGCTGAGTCAGAGGAAGGGGTGACCTCTTCCAGATTGTGGAGCTTTCAGAGAGCCGCCAGCGTGTCCTCTGGTCCCTTTCCCAGCACTTGTATACTGGCATGCATATGGCTTTTCCAGTGCCTTCCTGTAGATTGAATTCTGAAGTTTTTGCAGGTTTTAGGTCTGCGTGTTAGTCCTTTTTGCTAATACGTGTAATCCAAAGTATTGAAATTTCGAAGACAATGGATTCAAGACTTTATTGTTGGTGTGTGTCGTTTTGCAATCCAGGTGTGTATGTAAATCTAAAAAGGACTTGGTCTTGAGCTCACTTTAAGGCTTTCCTTTCAATATGTGCTTCCTTGGTTAATGAATAAGTGTTGTAGTTTTTATTTTGCTTCAACCAGTAGTCTCATCACTCTTTTTTCTTTGCACGATCACCTTGAATTCGAGACCAGTTTCGAGTATATGGTGCATTTTAGGTCACTGTGTACTACAGGTTGAAACTTTGTCTCAAAAAAGGGGAAAAATTATATATGTGTTTATATATTTATATATGTATATATATATTTATTGTATGAGGAAATCGTCAATAGTGTAGATGCATCTGTTTGCATTGCTACCTCATCTCTTTAATAGATTTTGGTAAAAATGTGCTAAAATTCCCTCATTTTTTGTTTTGTAGCTTGCCTTCTGTTTTGTTAAAGCTGAGAAATAGAATTGGAAAGTGACCCAGTGTTTTTATCCATGTTAGGGGCTCCGCTACAGTCATGGCAGTAACTAGGTGAGTGTGGGCACAGTGAGAATCACAGAGGTCTCATCAGGTGGAAAGAAAGGTTGGATAATGCACTGACTCACGTCCAGGAACATCAGGGTGTCACTCTTCCTTTTTTGCCCCTTTTGAGGATTTATTGGTGAGAACTTGGGCCTAGTGGCTCCACATTGTCCCATAACTTGGTGAGCAGTTTTAATTTGACAGCCGTTCTACATGAAACCAGTTGTTTCATTCCTTCAAATATAAATGCATACATTTATGCATATACTCTTACATTCTTACTTTTATTTTTTTCACCAGATGGCTTTTTTCTAATTTTTTCTTCTTATTATTTTAAAAATAAAAGGAGGAAAACATTAACAGACAGACAACCTTTTACAAAATTGTGAAAGAACAGTACAGACAATACAGAGTTACAAACAAAGTGGTAGGAAATTAACAATGCTTCTTGTATTACATATTGATATCTTCAAAGTGGTTTCTCATGAAAACAGATAGAGACATGCAATAT